TACAAAAAACAATGCATAGTTGTTGCCCAGGATAACCGAAATTTCACTATAGATCATAAAGGCACAATTTGTACCAAAAGCAAGGCACAATGTTCGCCGAGGACAACTGATTTGCATCAAATAGTACAAACATAAAGTCATAAATTCTATAAATAGCCAAGTAGTTCATATCAGCAACTGTAAGAATAAAGGTTACAGGAGATGTATCCGCTCATAAACACAATGAGATAACAGACAATTGGAAACAATGCTCTGCAAACGTCGATATCTATGGTACCTCATAGTTGATCATTATTGATAACTCTACTTCCTCCTTCCAAGTTCTGAGGCGAAGCTAATGCAATTAGTAGTGACAATACTTGACATGCTTCATCATCCTAATGATTATATGGAAGCTCTATAAATAATATTATAATTAGCTCATGAACTTATTAGGCACTATGCAAGCTATCCAAAATTCAGATAGATGGCATACTGCGACTGAAAACAAATCGGTAACATTGTGCGTGCAGAGTATAAATACTCCCTCTGTCCTATAATATAAGGGCGTTTTTGACACATGATGGCACTTCACAACTGAGAGATCCAAATAAATATTGCAGCTGAAAGAATAAGGTGCCTGCAAGAAAAAGATGATATAGGTGAGAGCAACATATCAGCCACTTGATACTTGAGGGAAATGATGGATACCTATGTACAACTGGAGTAACTTGTCTCACATGATGCAACGACAGTATTAAGAGAGAACTGTGTAATTTGTCTTCAGATTAACAACGTACGTGGGTTATTTGGCTGAGCAATTACAACTGAATGTCATTGAAATTACACTTTCTAAATCACAACAAAGTATAAAAATCCACACCCACATGGATAAATATGCAATTTTGCATTCCCATGATTTAGCTACCTTTGGATTCAACAATGCAGTTCCTTTGTGCAAAGGAATAAACAACATGAGAAAATAAATATTCCCAATAGGGAGCAATAAGTCAAATTTGCTGGAAGTGGATCATGGTCACCTGGCTCATATTTTTGTGAGTTTATTTTCCCTCTGACTGCAAGATCATTAGAACCTCTTCCATCAGTGGAGAACAACAAAAAAGGAAATAACTTAGTAATTATCTGAAAGCTAAACTGCACAAGATGAGCATATATTCGCAACATCAAATTAAAAAATGGAACTGATTATGAATTACTATAATGAGGTACGATTTCAGTCCACACACATACACAAGGCATTTATTCCCTGAGTAGGGAATGCATACGAATGGGACGTACTTAAGGCCAGTTATTTTGGGCTTAGGCTTATGCAGAAACACAGACTAAAATCTTTTGATCTATACATGGGCAATAGCTTATTTTCTTTACTGTTACTCCCTCTGTTCCTAAATATAAGTCTTTGTAGAGATTTCACTATGAACCACATACGGATGTATATAGATGCATTTTAGAAGTAGATTCACTCATTTTGCTCCATATGTAGTCCATACTGAAACCTCTACAAAGACTTATATTTAGGAACGGAGGGAGTACAATACATGCTTCTTTTTATTAACCCAGTCATGTAAGCAAACTGAGAAAGGATTATGTATGAATATCCTCAAAGCATTCTGCATAAGCAGGTTCATCTGATAACATGTTTTTTTTATTTTGTCTTGCAAGCGATTATCAAAAAAGTTCATCATCCTTGGTTCAAAAGAAATAAAATTTATTTGCATTCTTAAGCACATTTTTGTCTCTGGTTGGCTTATTTCTCATATGCAGGGCCATCCTCTCAAGTATGAGAACTTTTAGGAATTTGCTTGTCAATGAAAGCATAGGGGTGGAATGGCTCTGTTAAGTGCTGATCATCAAAGCTATTATGAAAATATATGTTTTATGTGAGCCTTTTTTTATCTCATTCTTTCTTTTGGCCATGACAAAAAAAATCAAGTGTATGTGGTGGCATGCAATCTTTTTTAACTTTAAAAAGTTTTCTTCGGAATATTTGTTCTTCCTATTCTCAAGTACATGTAAGGTGGTAGGTCTGTTCAGAAGGGGTTCCTACAAACTTTGAAAATCCCAAGCCTTTTACAAAGCAAGTTGTTAACTTCCAGCTAACCTTGATAGGTGGGCACATCTTCTTGTTATTGGAGGATGCAGGCCCGGGCAAACCTTGGTCGAGAATCTAATCGGTATCCATTGCAGCCACGACTTTTGCTTGTCCGGAGAAGGGGCTGCACGGAAACTGAGGGATCAAACTTGATGGCGAGAGAAAAGAAAGAATCACGAGCGATAAGTGTGGCTTGAGGTGCCAACTTTTGGATATCTTAAACAGAGAACAGTCTCGCGCAGCGGTGTCTCCTCAAAAAATTAAATAAATGTATCTACCATTTGCCATTATTTACGCATATTCAGGCATCCTCTTTCAGCGCCATCAAACACAACCAGCACAAGGGTCATTTAACAAAAAAGGCTCTTTCTGTAACCATGAAAACAAAGCGCATCATCTTAAAACCCAAAAATGTCAAATCAAATGTTCTTTTCTAAACTGACAATCAACATGATTGTGTCCCTATATCTGGGGCTTCTACCATAGCTACGAATCATAAAAAGCAAATAGAAAATACAGTGGAAGGGATTGACCATCATATAGGGCACTTAGTAAGTGGAGAATCATAATATATAGATGTATATGAATACATGAAAAGTACAGATGGTGCAGCTTTACATCACTGATTCAACAGTTCACACATTAAATTAAAACACATGAAACACGATTCAAGGAAGCATATTTGTTATATAAATGTACACACATTTTATCAATAGTTTCTTCCATACTTGGAATTCTATAAGTAAACATTGTATGTGTGGTCGATATAAAACTGTAGAGCATTTGCAACCAAGAAAATTATGTAAACATGATCCAGACAATATAGAAGTAAATGCTCCCTCGACGATTGCCATCTCTTAACAGTTCTTACTGCTTCATTTAAATATTATATGCACATATATCATAATATAAACAGAGAGTTTTCTTGACTACAAAAGCAAGCAGAGTACTTTTTCATTTGACAAATATAAAAACATCAAATCATACAGAACAAAAACCAACTGAGTCTCTTTGTAGCTCTTATGATTACAGGAAAGGCCACAAGGGGAGACCCAAAAGTTAGCATTGATTTTGTACCTGCATGTAATTGCAGCAATAGAGTGCTCTGCTATTGGTGGTGTCTTTTTTAAACATCATCAACGGTTACCTGAATAAGAAAAGGAGAACCGTAAAGAAAGGATACAGTTGAGGAAGGACAAAAAAGAATAATAGCAGGCCCGAAAATGAGCTTAGGATGGAAAACATATGATGGCATGTCATGCTTTCTCAGCTATTTTTGGGTCATAAAAAGGAAGATGCAATGTATAATAAGACTGGGAGATACAAAAGGACAACAAATTTAAACAATTCAACACAAATTCAACTAAGGTCATTCGTAGATAAAAACATTGGTCATGCAAGACAGATTCAATTTCTTCTGTACTTGGAATAAAACAACTCCATACTCATAATGTATAATACCATCAAAGAAAAAAATATTACACCTACCATAAAAATAATATTAGGTAGTTTTAGCCTGACCATGAATGACACCTCCATTATAGTTTTGTATATTGCCATCCTATGGAAAATTAAATCGAGCGCAGAATCAAAGTAGAACTAATAGCCTAAACAGACATCTTCACCTTGACAAATCGTAAGCATGAATTTTCAGATTGCGAGCAAATCATTCAAAGAAAAATGGCACAAGACCAAAGTCACACTAACTAATTCAGGCTAACCATAATACTTCGCAGAAAAGCAAATAGATGGGGAAATTCAAGACTGGAATTAATCAAAAGCAGCATTTACTAAATTTAAAGAATATATAACCGAAGCTAGATTATGAGAGCTAGACAGTTGAAAAATATATATCTTTTGTGTGTGTGTGTGTGTGTGTGTGTGTGTGAGAGAGAGAGAGAGAGAGAGAGAGAGAGAGCATCCAACCCGGTGTCAGTGCTCCCTTCCGTTTGGTTAGCACCATGGAGGAGAAGAGGCCATCAGGGAGAAAGAGGAGACCAAGGCGAGCGCGTGCTGGTTGGCGGCTGGATTTGGCTGGGAGGCAGCCGTGAAGGAATCTGGTAGAATAAAGGAAAAACTGATTGATATTAGCTCACATATATGTATAGTGGCAGATCCAACTTCCAAAGCTCAATGAATTGATACAATATCAATTGATGTTGCGGTCAAAGGTTATTAAGTTTTTATTTCCACAATCACAAGGTACATATACATTAAATATTGTAAAACGCTAAAGCTTCTAGTTACTCACTCCGTTGCAAAACTAGAAATAATCAATACTGGTTCATGTAAGAACCACATCAGCTATAATATCATGCTGCCAATAAATCCTGGTTCGCCTTGCTCTTCTCTTTGTTAAATCCATTTAGACAAAAGACTGATGGTGGTTCCAATTTTCTCAGGACCAAAACATCATCCTCTTCTTTACCAGAATATAAAGTAGCAACCCTATCTATAAAATCAAATTAAGTATCCTTAAGTGCAGAGTATCACATTGTGTCAAGGAACTGCAGAAATGAGGCTCCAACGCTATACAAATGTGTCAAAATGAAGTAGTCACATGCATGAGAAGTAACATATATGTATTCTGCACATGCAGTATTCTTATTATAAATAGGTATAATATATTCGTGAGATTTATGTATTCTGTGATGGCCAGGTTATCAATGTAGATGCTATACAAATGTGTCAAAAGGGTTCTGTCTCAACGTAGATGCAGTAACATATATGTATTCTGCACATGCAGTATTCTTAATAGATTATGCACATACATCAACCCTATTCTTATTATAAAGATGGCCAGGTTATCAGTATTCTTGTTTTAACACAAGTTCAGTCTAATGAGTACAGATAGATGTGAGCTACTAAAACATGGTGGTGGCATCTCACCTTTAGAACAACACAGAGCATGTTGGAGTTGGAATGCCACCCCCGCTGGGATCTGGGCGACCACCATGAGTGCCGCGAGGATCTCCTTTTCCTCCTTCCTCACCCTCTCTTCTTACCACCCCATCTCCCTCTCTGCCTCCTACTCTTTCTCCCAGATCTTGGTGGTGGTGGCAGGAGGCACACACGGTCGACAGGCGGCTGCAAAGAGAGGCGTACCACAACGACGACGCGAGCTCAGCGAGGGAAAAAGGAATACAGGATGGTTGGGCATGGGAGCATGGACGGGCAGTCCACACGGCGGCGAGAGCGAACAACCAAAGGAAAAGGGGAAAGTGGAGAGGGCGCTCACCGCTGCCTTGTCGGCGTCCTCGTCGATGTCTTCCGCTACGGGGATTTGGCGGCGTCAAGGGGTGGAGCACTGGCCGCCCCCATCCGGTGGTGTCAGGCGCTAGTGGTTAGAAATCCTAGACGCTCGCGCCAAGCACGATGCAGACGGGGCTCAGTGAAGAAGAAGCGGCTGCCTACCTAGAGAACGACGGAGGCGGCGACCGGCTGGGCTAAGGAGATGGCGAAGGGGCTTGGCCGCCGGCGGCAAGAGAGCTCGGCGGATAGTGGCGGCTAGGGTTTTCATGGGAGGGAGGCGGGGAAGAGAGGAGAGTGGGCGGGAGGGGGAGGGGAACGGGCGGATCCTGCCCTCTCGCCCCTGTCGCTATTGGGCATTTTTTCAGCCATGTGAAATTTCCAAAATGCCCTCGGCGGGGCACTGGAATCACACGCGGTGGCACGGGATTTTGACACTGTTTCGATCTATAGTCCCTTGTTCTGATCCGACATCCCAGATCCCTCCATCTCGTGATCGAACGGCCAGAAACACATCAAGAAACGAATCCGACGGCCAAGAAGCGCTAATCTATGAGGGCGCTGGGTTCCTCCCACTATGTATCTTACGCGATATGCACTAAAGGACGAAAAGTTGATGTCATCCTAAATTTCTTTTTTTTCAAATTTTAAGATGTTTTATAGCTCAAATAGTGGCCCCGATTGAAAAACCGTCTTCACAAAAATAATCGTTTCGATGAGATCTTCAAAACTAGATCTCATGTCGATATGTTCTAGTGGCTTTTTTTTGGACCAAAAGTTATCACATCTAGGATATGTAAGTTATCATGTCTGTCATACATAACTTATCGTGTCATTTACACAAAAGTGTCTGGGGTATGTTTTCAACAAACTTTTATCCCAGGGTAAAAAAAGTGATTATGATGTTTGTAGTGAGTTATTAGCTTTGTGTATATTACCATGTTGCACAAAAATTATCGGGGTATGTTTTTTTTAACAATTTTCATTTCCTCGATCAAAAAATTACCGTGATAATTGTATATGAGTTATCAGCTCTCATGTGCATGTATTATCATGTTGTTTACACATGAGTTATTGGGAGGTATTTTTTAACAAAAAAAAACCCTGGTCAAAATGTTACCACATATGGATCAAGTAAGTTATCAACTCTGTTGCATGTGTATTACCATGTTATTTACACACAAGTTATCAGGGTATGTTTCCGACAAACTTTTATCCCGGGTCAAAAGTTATCATGGGGTTTGTAGTGAGTTATCAACATAATTGTGTGTATAATATTGTGTTATTTGCACATAAAGTGCCGGGAATATGTTTTTGGACAAATCCCCCCCCCCCCTCGGCGGTTCACGTAAGTGTCAGGTATGCAGTGCTTCTAGTACCATGATATTCACACAAACGTTATCAAGGTTAAATATTTTCAACAATTTTCCTCGGGTTTCAAGTTATCATGGTGTTTGTACCTAAGTTATCATGTATATTATGCGTTATTACCATGATGTTTATACAAAAGTTACCGGGGTACATTTTTGACAAGTTTTTTCCTTCAGGTCAAAGTTGATGTGGTGTTTGTGCCTAAGTTATCAGTGTTGCCATGCATAAATTACCGTGTTGTTTACACATAAATTATCAGGGAGATGTTTTAATAATTTTTTCACCCCCGGTCGAAGTTACCATGACATTTATACATAAGTTATCGGGTCCCGGTGCACAAATTACCATGCCATTAGCACAGAAGATACCGGGGGTGAAAAAAACTATTGTCATCAGGTCAAAAGTTACTATGGACTTTAATTAAAGGATATTAATGCATAACTTTCATTCAAGAATTAATTCGAAGACACAATATAAGATTAAAATAGAGTGCTCCAGCATGCATGCATGCCTAGGAAAAGGTTAATGTCTAAATTAGTGGAACCAATTAATAGTGTCTTTAAAATGTGCGTTTTGGTCAGGAGACCTGTTAAGCTAGAGTAGAAAAAGAATTTAGCTTGCTTCTATGCATAGAAAAGAGCTACCTCAGCTGGTCGGCATTTGACATATTGAGTTGGAAGTTACTTATCTCGTTTTTTTGCTGAAATCTCAATGAAAGCAATGTGTAGGTACTTTAATATAAGAAGAGTTCTTTGTCCTAATCGCTGATCCTGTTGATATTCTGGACAAAGAGGGTAAAAATGCCGGTGCGATAGAAGCATGGACGTCACGTTCCTTGAATCGGAACTTCTTTATGGTGAGAAAACTTATCTAAGTGTCTTGTTTGAAAACTTGACCAATGTCTCCAAACCAAAATTGGTCGAGAGGGGGAGAGTAGTACGTAGCACATAAATGCAGATTATGCATCAGTCACCTTTAGGAACAGGCGGCTCAATAGTAACTTGTGTGGTTCCTGTGATAGAAGCATCGACTTCCATCGGTGATGTGCAGATTGGCACATCGACACTGGCTCAGATTGGTAGTCTGCCGACATGGAAAGTTGAGCAAGAGGTGCAAGGGATGATTTTGCTCGATGCTTGTATGATTTACAAACCCATTTGATGACAATTGGTTATTGTTCGGTGACTTTAATTTCATAAGGTATCTCGACAACAGAAATATTCCAGGTGGCTGTATTAATGATATTCTTTTGCTTAATGAAGTTATTGGCTATCTAGGCCTTGTTGAGCTCCCAATCAAAGGTCGACAGTTTACTTGGTCCAATATGAAAGATCAGCCCCTGTTGACACAGATTGATTGGTTTTTCACCACACCTTCTTGACTATCAATATCCCAACACCATGCTTTTTCTTGTCACGTACAGCTTCTGATCATGTACTGTGTGTAGTAACAATTGGCACATCCATTCCAAAAGCTAAAATATTCAGATTTGAGACTTATTGGGCTAATCTTCCTGGTTTTTGGAGTGTGTTTCTTCTGCTTGGAATAAGCCATCTAAGAGAAAATTATATGATGCTATAATATCTAAGAAGCTCAAGAGTCTAAGGCATACTCTTAAAGTTTGGCACACTAGTTTATCAAAGGTCAAAGCTATCATTGTTGAGTGCAATAGACTTATTCTGCATTTTGATACTTTGGAGGAGAAAATATCTCTTTATAGGCCTGAATCAAAGTTTCGATCAATCCTTAAACAACACTTCGAGGAGGCGCTGAGATTGTATTTATTGGAAGCAAAGATGCACCATAAGGAATATTAAAATTGGTGAAGAAAATACTGTTTTTTCATGCAATGACAACACAAAAGAAATGCAATCGCTAATATTAAGCTGCATAATGGGGATATTAAACTGATCATAGTCAAATTGCTGGCAAGTTTTGGCAAGACTTTAAGAATATGATGGGTTGCTATGAGGGCCTATCCATGGGCTTTAACTTGCAGCAGCTTCTGAATAAAGTGGATGGCCTTCAGGTCCTTTCAAAGCCATTTACAGATGAGGAGATTGAAGCTGTCATTAAGCATATGTCACCTGATAGGGCCCCTAGGCCTGATGGCTTCACTAGGCTTTTTCTAAAGAAGTGTTGGAGTATTTTAAAGGCTGACTTCTGGGCTCTGGTCAAAGATTTTTATGAGGGTAAAATAGATCTGGAATATATAAACTCTTCTCTCATAACTTTGATACCTAAGAAGCTCAGCCCATAAATGATTGGAGATTATAGGCCAATTTCTTTGACTAATACTTTGCTTGAATTTCCTTACTAAACTTCTGGAAACATGCTTTAGGGTGTTATTTTAAATGTATTCATGCCAATCAGTATGGCTTTCTTAAAAGCATATCTATTCAAGACTGGCGGGCATGGTCTTTTGAATACATCCATCAGTGCCATGCCTCTAAGTTTCTCATCAGGAATGGAATTCGGTTTCCAATCTGGTCACACATGACTCTTGCCCTAAAGCAATTTCTTGATTAGGAGCAGTGGGTGGCCCATAGAAAGGAATGCCTGCCTATCCATAGCCGGGAAAATTGCTGCATATTCAAGTCACCCAATTCTCTTCTCTTGCACTATGTCTATTGGAATGGACCCTTGATTCTCCAGCAGATCCTCCTGGTATGGAAGGATATCATCCACAAAACAGATTGCGGAAAATGCCATCCAAGTTCGCAAAGGAGCGGTCTTGAGAATTGTAATTCTGCTAAAATTGGACTTCTCAAAGGCTTTTGATACTATTGCACATGAAGCTATCCTCAATATTCTTGAGCATAAAGGATTTGATGGAAGATGGATAAATTGGATTAAGATGTTATTGTTTTCTGGTTCCTCTTTCATTCGCTTAAATGGTGTTCTTGGTATTCCTTTTAAGTATAAACGTAGAGTCTGACAAGGGCCGCAGACCTGCTACAATCTGTCATGACGAATGATATGCTTGCTAGATGCATTCTTTCATAGCCTCTGTCATCAACAAACCCCAATTTTCCTGCTGTTCAGTATGTAGATGACACTCTCATGGTGCTACCTACTAAGGTATTGTCCTTACTTGAATAAATAATAACTACTTATGATTATACCCTCCATGCAAACATCGACAAATACATGAGAAGTAATGAAGATAAATCGGACCATAACATTAAACATTAGGATCTAAAATAGCCCCTCACAGAACATTCATAAACTGGAGTTTATGTTTCTATCACTCCCGCAACCCATCATCTACAAACTAATTCCACAATGTCTTTCCCTAGGTACAAAGATGGTGAAGTGTCATGTAGTCGACATTCACATACCACCACTAAAGAAAGAACAACACAACATATCATCAAAACATCAAACGGTAATCAACTTCACATGATTACTAGCAACAAGACTTCTCCCATGTCCTAAATATCCTAATGGATCTATTCACGAGACATCATATGGATCATGATCAGTGGGTATAAATATTTGATAAACAATGTGAACATAACAATTTTTCACCAATAAATCTCCTATCATCAACTACAAGGTGATATCAACACATAAAAGTACTCCCAACAACCAATTTGAGGTTTGACACAAAGATTGAGAAGATGAATGAACTAGGATTTGGAGATGAGATGGTGTTGGTGAAGATGTTGATGATAATCAAAATAAAACATTTGGTTCAGGTGCTATTATCATGGTAAGC